CAGGCTTCTTCACTGTATCACTCTGCTCACGGCTGAAATGTGACATGCGAGAACGAAACAAACGCCCAATTGCGATTAGAGGCAACATCTAGATAGCATACCAAGTGATTACGATAGTCCATTCCACACCCTTCCATCCAAGCCTTTGGCTACGTCTCAGCCTTCCTTCTCATGATTCGCATCACGCGATATTGCCGCACTGGGCTCTTCAGTGATCCTCCTCTCCAGCAAGTGGCTGAGCTGGTAACCTGAACTCACCTTCTCATTCTGCGCAGCCGCAAACCCGGAGCCTCCAGCTTGCACCATCTCCTGATCATCCGAAGACCCAGCCGAATGGCTATGCAGCACCGTACCCTGCTGTTCCAGCGTCATCACCGACCCTTCCACTGCACTAGCCTCACCCATCTCCGCGGCATCCACTACACCATGTTCCACCTTCCACTGCGCGAAATCTTCACTACCTCCAAACGGCTGCCAAATTTCCAACTCGGGATAGCATCTCCTAACCGATGATTCGGCTCCCATAGCCATCAGTGCCATGATCGGATTCGTCAGCAGCGAAAGAATGCCGCCGAAAAGCAACTTGATGATCATCGGAATCCAGGTCCCTGCCAGTTCGCGGCCTCCGTAGATCGGCGCAACGATCGCAATCGCTAAGGGCCAGTACCACCAAAAACTAAGGCAGCAGAGGAAGAACCCTTGTGCAGCCGTCCACACCAATCGCTCTAGCCGTTGTCGCCATGAAATACCGGCTGCAAGCAAATCATTCCTCTCCGACCCAGTCAGTACTGCTCGGACGAACCACCACCACCAACCGTTCAGCTTGGACTTTCCTTCCGCTCTACCCATTCTGCAATTCTTCTCTTCCCGCTGTACATCCTCTGGCATGCGAACACCCAGCCAGCGTCCCTCCGGACCAGGAGTAGAAGGTAAGTGCAAAAGGGGAGGCCAGGGACGCCTTAATGGTCCAATCGGACCCGCGTACAAATCATGATGTACCAGCGAAGAAGTAATGATAAAAGAAACAATCTGTTGAATAATCACCGTCACCCCCATGTCCCCTGCCACTGTCTGCCTGTTAAACGTCCAAACATCAATAGTAGGTTGAGTCCTGTACAATGCTACCGCAACACCAAAGTTGATCGCCCCTGAAATGAGCATCGCAATAACACCCTGTGCAAAGACCAAATACCACCATTGACCATATCCAAACGTCAACGGGCCCGGAACCATCCAATCCCTCAAGGTGGCAGCTTGGTCAATGACGACACCAGACCGCTCGTACGGAGCGGCAAAAGGGATTGCTCTTCGTTGATGTTTCCACCACTTCCCTTGATGTGAGGGTTTGTGCGGATCGCGGTCGGATAAGTGTAGCTCGTCGGGTCGTTTGGCTATTGATCGGCGTGGTTCTTGCATCGGATCGATAGGACCGGATTCGGAGGAGCGGAAGAGGGAGATAGATCGACGGAATGCACCTGAGGTTTGAGGTGCGGTGCTGGCTTCCATGCTGGCTCTGCGTTGGTTGAGGCCACGCCGTGCACCCGACTGTGAGCGTCGGTGAGCAGATCGTACAGCAGCATCAACGGGGTTTGTGGCTGAAGAGGAAACGTTTTCGCTTCGATCCCGTCTTGGTTGGTCGGCGTAAGAGAGTGAGACTCGCGGTCGAGTTGCAGCGGCCGCGGTTAGGGTTGAGCTTTCAGATGCGCCGGTCGAAGGCTGGTTGGGGATGGGCGTACTCGCGGATGGCTGAGCAATATCGGTGGTGGGATACGCCGGGATCGCTGTCGAGCTTGTTGAGCCGGAGATAGCAGCTACCCCCTCAACCATGCCCTGTTGCTCTGATGTATCATCCTCCATCTCCCCCAAAGCTGTATAGTGGATACGATGATATCGATGGTGATGGTAGTAACGAGGAGAACAACAGGGGTCGATCCGCGTGCAATCCACCTCCCATCCATCTGTCATCTGACAAAAGCGGAGAAGAGTAAGCGCCTGTCTGTGTTTGGTGGCGGCGTTTGAACCCTTTCGCTAATTTCGCATCAACGCCAAAAAACGACTCTGCGCTGTAGAACCGGCAAAATTGATATTCGCGAGCAAAACGTGCCGTGCGGTTATGGCGATTGCAGATCCTCTCGCAAGGGCGGAATTTTTTGGTCACTTGTGCAACACTACGCGCCTTTGCATCCGGGGAAAAATCATAGCAGAAGTTGCCGAAGGAAGCGATCCAATATGATGATATATGCTGACATAAACGTAATCGGGGATCTGACTAAACCGGTCTGTCCAGAGATCGGGTACAACACAGTCCCGCTCGTTGTCAAGATAGATCATTAAGTAGAGTACTCCCACATTCGGCATGTGCCACCCAGATGTATATATATCAAGCCGAGAGCATTAGGCTCTCACCATGTTCCTTTAGTCAATTGAGTATGTGTTTCTGTCCTAAACAGCAGTGACATCGTACTCAGACTCTCCCCGATCGCCAGTTATCGGGACAGAACTTCTTCACTTTCTAACAGAGGACAGCGATACCTCTTCGCTCCGATGCAAAATGAGTTCACTCAACTGGTTGCGATCAGATCCTCCCCTCATACCGTCGTACGTCGTTTCTGTTGGACGCGCAAGGTTACAGCTTTGACCAGGCAAACTTCAAAAGCCCACCTCTGAGCCCTACTCTGTAGGACAGCACACAAAGCATCTCATCTTTGACCGGAACATCACGTCTCATCTTCAAAGCGCACCTTTCGTTGGCCTGTTCAGCGTTCAAAAACCTTGACCAAAAGAACATGTATTTACTAAATGAGATGTGAAAGGGGATAAACAACATTATGCAGCCGCTGCAGCATGGGCTGCCTGATGAGCCTACAACCTCCATAGTTACTCGAGCCCAACCTCAGTACTTGCGCCACTCTCCAGTGCGCCCTGCGCCCAAGCTGGTACTGAACTCTTCCACTCAAGTTCACTTTTGCCAAACCAAGCCACCTACTCCAGCCCAGCCTAGTCTAGCTAGCAACTACCTCCCCTCTTGCAGCAGCAGCCCGCACCGGCTCGAAATACGCATGATCCTGAGCCTCCTTCGCGGTCAATCTTTCCTGATGATCATACCTCAGCAACTTGTCCAAAAAGTCGATCGCATCATTCGAAATATACCTCTGGTTCTCGCTCGTAATGAATCTGCTCCAGGGTTTCCTCTGATATCTACCCAAAATATCGTCATATTGAGGGTCAAGATCGATATCGTACTTCTCCAAATACGCGTACAGCTCGTCTGTGCCTAGAACTTTGCAAATCTTGACGAGTTGATCGTAGTTGTCGTGACCATGGAAGAAAGGTTCTTTGCGGAAGATCATGCTTGCGAACATGCAGCCTAGACTCCACATGTCCAGTGAGTAGTCATACTCTTGGAAATCTACCAAAAGTTCGGGACCTTTGAAGTATCGTGAGGCTACCCTAACGTTGTACTCTGTATAAGGGTGGTAGAACTCCGCAAGACCCCAATCGATGAGTCGAAGTTTACGCTTTTCATGATCAATCATAACATTATGCGGCTTCACATCCCTATGCATAATCCCTCTCGAATGACAGAAATCCAACGCCTTCAACAACTCGAAGATGTAAAACCTCACATCGAAATCGGTAAACTTAGGATAGAGGATCTTGAAATCGGTATTGTTGATATACTCGGTGATGATCGATGGTGTTTTAGACTGTGGGTCTCGTACGACGTCGAGCAGTCCAACGACGTTAGGCCCTCCAGCGAGGTTTTGAAGGATCTTGATCTCTCGTTTGATCTTTTTCTTTTTGACAGGTTTGAGCACTTTGATGATGCATTTCTCGGGAACACCAGAGGCGGAGGCAATGTTGACTCCTTCGAACACTTCAGAGTATTTACCACGTCCAACTTTGCGGAGGATCTCGTAGTTGTCTTGTGTACCCCATTGAACTGCGAGGTTGTCGTAATCCCACCAGGGACGACCAAACTTTTCGTTGGCGCCGGGGTAGACCCTTGCGCAGCTGCGTCCTCCGGACATGATTGTGATGTGGGACGCTGATCAGCGTATGTAGCTCCTAGGAGACGATTTGACCGTGTGCAGGTGAAAGCGATGCAGGTGGTGACGAGTGCGGATGACGGTGGATCAACAAGCTTCGGTGGAACTTGCTTCGACTCGGTTTCCGGGGAATAGTACTAGGTCGTGCGGAACTCCTGAAAAGCCGTGGCAAGTATGATGTGTGGCCTACGCGATGATGCGGGATGCGAACGAGCCTGCACGAGATCAATGTGGTGTCGAGAAAAGCCGAGTATGCTTGAAGATGCGGAGTAAGAGCCGGAGTGCGGGATGTATGACCCTTTGTCGAGATGTTCCCGTTGGATGAAGGGATAGTCGAGCAGCAACCTGTAGACTGATGCGGGACAGGTTCGGATGCCTTGCTGGTAGCTTTCTTTGGGCTACGTCGTTGCAAGCAAGCAAGAGGCGGAGAAGGGGTAAAGTGCGGGATGGTGGTAGTGAAGAGAAGGATTTGATGATGAAGTGTTGGCATAGCAATCTTCTCTCCGACCTGCCGATTTTGCTAGAGAGATGGGCTCAGCAGTCAGTCGCTGTGGACAGGCCAACTCCAACGTCAAAAAACGTGACTGAAATCGAACCGCTGCTGGCTAACCGAACCCAGATCAGCTTCAGATCGGCGGAAGGCGAGAGCTGCAAATTTCGACGCGTACTGAGAGTTGAAGTAGATAAAGCTGCACAAAGCGTAGAGACTGCGGAGAAAGTGTTTACGGCCGAGTAAAAGGCTTGCGCAAAAGGGGCTCAGCAGCGCACGCGTGCGCGAGTGGCGAAAACTTGAAGACACCTGACTCGCATTTGTATTTAGAACTATCATCAACAAAACGCTTCAACTCTGAGAGCCTTTGTCCAAGGCCATATTGTGATCGTCCTCGAATGCAGCAACACTTGACGTGGTATATATCCACAAAGCCCGGAGCAGAATTGCATGCACATCTATCCCGGCTAGCTCAGTCGGTAGAGCGTCAGACTCTTAATTACAAGGGTTTCCGAGTACTTTCTCGGATTTCATCTGAATGTCGTGGGTTCGAGCCCCACGTTGGGAGACTTTTTTTTCGCTGCTTTTTGTTCATCATTCATGATAGGATGAGCAAAGTTCAGATGGCTAATCCTTGATGTATCCACCAGTATCTGTCGCTGTGCTTGCTGACCGAACTGCATCAACATAGAGACCGGTGTTTCCTTCTTCATCGAGCACAGACTGTTGAGATGGGGTGCGGTGAGCCTCAACATGGCATTTTCGCAGAGATTCAGATCAGACATGCCAAACATGTCTGCCCTGCGCTTAACCCCCAGAGGGGGGCAGGACCCCATGCCCAGGGCCCCATGATAATGATATGCAATGCTACATCAAAGATAAAGGAGTCCTATGGACAGCCTTGATAAGCATATTGAAAGTGCCGTTGTGGTCACAATCTGCTGAGTAGAGGCAGGTTGGGCATTGGAATCATTTACTTGCACCTAGTCTTTGGTTGAGATTGCCACACTGAGAGCAGGTCTTTGATGTATATGCTTCTGGTTGTATAAGAAGCACTGTTGGCCGCCAACGTTTGTGCGGATAGCATGGATCATGAGCATTGCCGTGGCATTTGGCCAGCAAATGGTTGATGAAGTTGCAGTGTCCCCAACCCAGCAGCCTCCGATGGGTGTTTCGGTGCAAGTTCCCATTCTTCCTTTGTATCATCTTGCAAACTGTCACCGGAATGGTTCCGTTCTCCGAGTCCGGAGCATTTGGGAGTGAAAATGCTTATACTTCAGTGTTGTGTGAATCGGGTACACCAGCTAAGGGACTAGCTGGTGTAGTGGTTTTACTGCTCACTATGTGTCGGTTTGGTTACCCGATTTCCCGATCCCTGACACAAACCTCCATCCTTGGCATGACCACAATGTTGGATGAGGTTGCTGTCACAGAAGATCTCGGACCTGGATCTGCAGGAGATGTGACCTGCATTGGATGAGTAGCATGCACAAGAATACGAAACCAGTCGAGTTGTGGGTCTACAACAGATTTCGCTGGACTTGATCGAGTTGTGGTGTCCAGGCAGAACTCACTGGGATCAGACGGAAAGGGCCCACATGTCCAATGCTCTAGATCACCTTGGGAAGGCACTGAGGCATCAGGCAAGCGGGAGTGACCCACATAAAGAGGTATGCAAAGGTAGGTCCTGCCACTGGGATGAAGTGGGAGGATGAAGTCGGCATATGAGGATAAGTCACTACCACCAACGACGAATAGGGACTTCAGAGGAGCAGAAGGAAGAGGAGAGGTTGCCACACAGATGAAGTGGGGAAGACCCCTAAGCAATGATGAAGTCGCAATTGTTCCCATCCAAGGACGAGGAGCAGGAGGCGCAAGGCTCATGGAGAAGGTACTCCTACCAAACAGGAGGAATAGGAGGAGTATGAGCAGGGTGCAGAGGTCAGACTTCCTTAGAAGGAGCGGGAGCAGTGTCGCTGGCGACACCGCACAAGTCTATATAACTACATATCCTCTTCATCCTAGTAGTTGAGTGGATCCTTATCCACTCTACATATCACGAACCGGCCCTACGGTTGGCAATGACGACGAGGGCGAGATCGAGAGGAGAGGCAGAGGAGACTACCAGACTTCGGAAGGAGTAGATGAGAGAGTTGATTGAGAGAGTGACTTATGATCTCTTTTCCTTAAGGGAAAAGAGAAGAGAAGAAGGAAGGAGCAAACTATGAGATCGAAAGTACAAGACTCAATGCGACGAGTCTAAGACTCTTTTGCAGTGAAATGACATATCAATGTTAGATCTATTATAAATATGAGAAGGGTCATGACTGAGTCGTGACACTACACATGACTAGCTATATCTTTACCATATCATATACTTAGTTAAGTTGTCAAACAGTTGCAATTGCAGGTTATTGCTTCTACTATAAGCATGTGTGTTGTATCACCACTTCTTGACATCATCCATAGGCAGTACTCCACTGTGGTCCAGATATTGATCGACACCAAAGTGTCAGCGGTTGGGCGCCTGAAACCCGAAATCTGTAGTAAAAGGCAATTATGATTAATCTCGGCGAGATCTGTAGTAAAGGCCCCCTATTATGGTTCCTGCTGGAATCTGCCATAGAAGCCTTCTATGACTGTTCTGACTTGAATATGTTATAACTGACAGTTGTCACGGATTTCGACTGACCACTGGGGACACTCCATCCAGAGGTAGCTCGGCATGATCAAAATCCGATAGTTACTTTGTCTGAGGTGGCACCAAGGTCTGATGCTAATGAGGTTGCTTTGACACAAGTGTCCAGTGTGTCGGCTGATTGATTGAATGATCCCCAGACCACAGTGGACGACTGCCTTTGGTTCTAATTATTGAGAGAGCCAGACCGAAGTGTGAACCGCCTTCAGTATCAATTGTTATCCGGACCGCAGTATGAACTGCCTGTTGTCATGGGCCTGAATGCACAGGTAGCAAGAAGGCTGTTGGTTCGTATGGTAGGAGCATAGGTGTCAGGGATCAGGCCGATCCACAGAAGAGTCGACCATGGCAGGCCATGGTCTAGGTGTGGACAAGGAGATGCTAGAGACTTAGCTGGTACTGGTAGTAGGCATAGCCGGAGTGCAGTCTCCATGGAGACCATGGACCCGGAGGACTAGGCCCATACACAAGGAGGTCCAAGCACCGCCACAAGGAGGACCGAGCTCAAGGAGCATGCAGACGGTTACCACTCAGGGGCTCGAGAGACAAGAGTCAAAGGAACCGTCACTGGTCGAAGGAGGAGGAGCAGTGTATAGGAGACCGGCAAGCAGGTCCTGAGGAGGAAGAGTAGTGTCGAAAGGAGCTGACATAGCTCAAGGAGGGCAGGAGTGGTGCTAGAGGGACCCCCTGTACAGTACTCGACGAAGAGGGTACTCTCTGGAGAGAGAGCAGGAGCAGTGTTGCTGGCGACGCTGTGAAGAGGTATATAACCATGCCTTCTTGTCTTCAGAGGTCGAGTGGATCCTCATCCACTCTACACTCACCATATTAACTAGTTATCACTTCAAGCATAAGTATACATTAGTTACAGTCAGCACAGTTGCAATCTATCAGGTTGCCTCTCATTGTAGCGCGTGTGTTGTATCACTGCTCACTGACGTCCGAAGGCGGTTCATAGCAGACCAGCGGTCCGGATATAGATAGAACCGAAGGCAGTAGTCCACTGCGGTCCGGGGATCACTTCAAGCATTAGTCAGCACACTGGACACTCGTGTTGACGCCACCGAATTACCACCAACGTCACCAACCTTATCACCACCACCTTCATCATAACCTACACATTGATATCGATCGTGCCGAGCCACCTCTGAACAGAGTGTCCACAGAGGTCAGCCGAAACCTACGATAGTATATACAACGGACGCCACCCGCTGTCCTCACGCAGCTTGATAGTCACCGAGTATCTTGACAGACCGACGTAGGTTTCAGGCGCGAGACCCCTGACATTAGAGTGGATCGTTCAAGCAGCTCCTCATGATCACCATGATGGACCCAAACCTCATATCGCGAACCGGCCCTACGGTTGGCAATGACGACGAGGGCGAGATCGAGAGGAGAGGCAGAGGAGACTACCAGACTTCGGAAGGAGTAGATGAGAGAGTTGATTGAGAGAGTGACTTATGATCTCTTTTCCTTAAGGGAAAAGAGAAGAGAAGAAGGAAGGAGCAAACTATGAGATCGAAAGTACAAGACTCAATGTGACGAGTCTGAGACTCTTTTGCAGTGAAATGACATATCAATGTTAGATCTATTATAAATATGAGAAGGGTCATGACTGAGTCATGACACCTCAACAACAAGCTCGACAGGCTATTGGCTCTATTGGAGGCTCAGCTAGAGCTGACCAGGCAGGGTCAATGGGAGGAACGACTACGACGAGCTCACCTGACTGAGGAGACGGTAGACCTCTCGCATTCAGAAGACCAAGCAGGAGGAGGAGATGAATCTATGCTAGGAGACCCCCATACTCCTACTCCGGCTCCACGACCAAGACCATCGGTCTCATTCAACCTGGATGAGCAGGACGATGTCAACTACGAGAAGTATGCGTCACCTACCGGGCCAAGATATGTCAAACCTAAGGTGGATCCATACAGCAGGACCAGGACGGACCCTTACCCCCTGGACCATGAGGAGGACACTAGCATCATGATGGAGAGGTCGAAGCCCATTGCCACCCCATTCCCAAAATTCAATCCCCGAGACGTGGAGATCTTCATTCTAGAAGCAGAAGCTTGGTTTAAGTTCAACCAGGTATATGAGCAGTCCAGGATGATCAACCATATGGGTGCTCAGTGTCAGAGGTCTCGCGCCTGAAACCTGGGTCGGTCTGTCGAGATACTCGGTGACTATCAAACTGTGCGACAGCTATTGTCTCGGTATCGGTCTCGATGAGCTTCGTCGCTCGGCGACTATCAAGTTGCGCGATGACAGCAGGTGGCGTTCGTTGTATATACTATCGTAGGTTTCGGCTGACCTCTGTGGACACTCCGTTCAGAGGTGGCTCGGCACGATCAGTATCGATACGAAGGTTATGATGAAGTTGGTGGTGTCGATGAAGACACCAAGGTCCGGTGTGAGTGTTGATGACGACGAGGTTGATGGTGTTGGTGATGAGGTTGGTAATGATAAAGCTGGTGGCGTGGGTGGTAATTCGGTGGCGTCAACACGAGTGTCCAGTGTGCTGACTAATGCTTGTAGTGATCCCCGGACCGCAGTGGACTACTGCCTTCGGTTCTATCTATCCGGACCGCTGACCTGCTATGGGTCGCCTTCGGACATCAGGTAGTGGTGATACAACACACACACTACGATGAGGAGCAACCTTGATAGTTGCTGCTATGCTGACTGAAACTAATGTATACTTATGCTGAAGTGATAACTAGTTTATATGGTGAATGTAGAGTGGATGAGGATCCACTCGACCTTTGATGATGAGAAGGTATGGTTATATACCTCTTCGCAGCGTCACCAGTGACGCTGCTCCTGCTCTCTCTCCAGAGAGTACCCTCTTCATCGAGTACTGTACA